GTCCGTCGCCAGATGATAACGGGCAAGTCCGGTGGTTTGCAAAAAAACGAAATAATTAAGAAAAAATTCAAAGCCTATGTTTTCCATGGAGTCGCCTACAAACCCCCCCAATAAGCAGATTTGTCTTGCATGTAAATCTTGTTCAGTAAGCGCAAATCCCCTCCGGATTGAAGCATTCAAATGCACTCGCTAACGTATGTGCTCAGGCGTGCTGGGGAACCAGGAATACAGTTACGTTTGCATGGAATAGGAGATGCAGCTGTCCAAATTTCATTCAGAGAGCTTAAAATCCAAAATTCTTGAAGCCAGTTGCTTTAATTTTATCATCTTCAGCTAGTCAGAACGGACATTCAGACAACCCTATTATGTTGTCATGCTTAGTTTCAATTTTTTAAGTAAACATCAGTCTCATCGGTTATATCGATGCACCGTCCACTTGGCTTTTGAGTGGACTGCCTAAAGCATTCGCGTCGGAACAGGAGAACCTCCAGTGCAAATTCGTAAATCCAGACATTACACCAGACTGATCTAATAAAGTGCGGTTCTGTGTGTACGTTACTGTCTCATCATTACTTAGGTTAAAACGTCCATCGGTCAGTGATGTAAATTTTGAGGTCGTTTGACTTGACCGAAAGGGATTTTCCATCAAAAGACCTTAAATAAAAAGGTGGATAAAACAAGATAATAGTGTAAATTGGGTCATCATGAATGCAAGATTCTTCACCATTGAACCTTTTAAAGTATTTTGCTGGCAGTTCACTACTGTCCATGTTCATCTAGGGCGTGGGAATTCGACGAACCGAGAGCGGCTAGGCGCTCTCTCCCAACAAGTATAAATGTTTCCGGGGTTTGACAAGCGTCAGGCTCTATACTTTGTAAAGCTCCACTTTGGTCGAACGCCGAATCCACAGGCAAGCAAAGTGACGACTGGAAAACCCACCTTTTCGCTTGGCATTCGCTTCGGTGGGTTGTGAAACTTTCGGAATTTCCGTATCGCCTCGACACAGCAGCTTTTGTTCCCATTGTGCCGTTGATGAGTGTCTATCTCGCACATGGTTGACCTTGCGAATTTCTTCTTTATTTCTCCCTAAATCGTTCGCAGTCATCCTCATCAAATTTTCAAATCGTGGTTCGAATTTTTTTCACTCATGGTACACATATGAAATTCGTCCGCTTCACGCTTCAGAGAAAGCTGGCTGCACATTGTAAGTCATTACTGAAATGCAACAGATTTTTGCAAACCGAATCCAATAGTGGTGATTTGATCCTCAGAATAAGCAGGCACTGACCGCGCTGCACATGGCAATCAGAAAAGTTCTATATGACAAGCCACAATGAAACAAGTGAACAAAATAGGATGGAATCACAGATGACTCATTTGGTGAGTACGGATCATGTGCAGGGTTCCGACAATCTCCGCTTGCGCCTCCGTTCGCATTCGATTTCGCATGAAATTTCAAGGGAATTTCGTGCTATAATTGCTAGGAAGCAGACTTATCTATAGTGAAGCATGAAAATATAGCGCTTTTACGCACTGCCTATTCACGTTTTAATTTACAACCGTTTCGTATGCACCTGCCCCATGATCGGTCGAGTACTGCTACACGTTGAAATAAAAAAAACTGATCTTTTTTAAAACATGTCTATTCAAATAGGTTTGCCGATGATCTAGAGTAGTAAATCATTAATCACAGCGTCTTCAGGCGTTTGTTATAACGTCTGTTAAATATAGACCAACGGAACTGATTTTATCCATTCAGAATTTTCCGGTTGAATTTTATTTTCCGCCTGCAAACTACAGATGAGAGATGGCTCTAGCTGAAGTACTGCTCAGTTATGGGAAACACTCACAAGTAGACAATATCCTTCTGAGTTTTCTTCTCTATGACGGGACTCTTAGAAGGTATAGATGACTTTAGAGTGTCATTAATAGACTGTTTCACCGATGATTCGAACTTGTCCTCGGTTGCCAAGTGACGAAACTTATGTTGTTCCGTGTTAGTAACACCGTATTCCCTCTTGCAAACGGAAACGATAGTCCGTGAAATTCTAGTAAGTATATCCCTGTTAAATATTTTTGAACAAATTAGGTTTTTTACTACAGTTGGGTCCTGGATTGCCCAGCGTAGGAGTATCGCATATTCAGCTGTTCTGTTTCAATTTTTTTCCTATTCAATTCGTCACAATCCATAGTTTCTATCTCTGATGCAGCCCAAATAGTCAGTCCGTCAGTTGCCCGCCGATAACGGCTGAGTTTGCTTTACAAACGATAATGTGCGATAGCGTGCTTGTGATCAGTAAAGTCCACGGAAATTGGAACTTTATTGGCTCTTTTTTTCTCTTATGTCTGCAAGGAATTTTCCGCTTACTGGCTGCGGATATGGCTACAAGTGAGCACATTAACGACATCATGGTCACATGACCAACGCAAGTTTTTGTTCACTAAAACGTCAAGATAAATTTGCTGCAAAGTTCTACCTCACAGTTTTGAGGATTCGCGCTTACGCGCAATGCTAGCGCTCTTTGTTTGCGAGGGCCAAAAATTTAATTGGTTTAAAATGATGCCGGTTCCGCTACTAAATCCAGTCCGTTGACCTGCATCACCGTTTGGTCTTAAGGTATCAACGATAATAATTTTCATCCGAGACGATGCAATTACGTTCCTCCTGGCACACATCAAGATCGTTGAAGTACTCTCGACTTCCGTGGATGCGCAGGAAACCAAACGATTCAAAATGTGCAAGACGCACCATTCAAAGCCATAGCCATATGAAATCTTTTGAAGGTCGAAATAACTGGCACAAAGGCTTTGCGACTTGCAACCGTTGTACTCAGATACTTCAAAAACTTACCAGAACGAGTTTGTGAAAAACGGTAAGTGTCTCTCAGGAGTAAGGCACTACGTTTCTGAAATACGTACGTAGCTAAATGTGTCCCTTGTTTATGATATTTTGCGAGAAGATATCCACCAGTGGTTCTCTGCCTAATCTCCATTTATTCACCACTAAATAGCTCAGATTACACGGGACATCTATAACACGATATCAGATAGCCTTTCGAATATGATGTCTGCTTCTCCGAACAGAACCGAAATTCGACATTTGCGAAAGTCCTCATAAGCTCGGATGCCATTCCGCTCATCAAAATAGTCTTTTTTCGAATATCAGTTCTGAGGCTTGAATTGCACCGAGTTTTGCATTCTTGAGAACTTGCGTAAACGCCGCCAAACGTCATGTATTTGAAAGAATGCGCTCGGAAGTACTTGAATAAAGCAACCCGAAATAAGTTTGGTATGCTCTTCTGGTGTGCTTTCAGTTGGTTCTAAAGCCGAAACTTAATTTTTTGGGTTATCAAATGTCGAGGTGCTAAAAGCTTTATTGAACAGCAAAAGCACAGAAACTAGAGTGGCAAGGTTTTACATACGGAAGTCCAGATCCTTCTTTCTAAAATCATCTGATGCGCAACGTTACAGCCAATTTACATTAATCTAAAGAAACCTGAAAACAGGTTTTCTTACAGTAATTTTACTAAATTCCAAAACAAAAACTTTGCGACTCTACCGACATGGGAATGTTCTGTCCGGAAACCTCGCAAAGCATTGGTGAGCTAATTTCATCTCAGTACATTTTATTGCGTGCCATTTGTCTCTCTTTTTGTTATTCCCTTGTTTCTTTGGTTTACTTCTGAATATAGAAGAATGGACATCCGGTTTCGTCTAAACACATTTGCATATTAAACCTATCCGCGTGGGTAAAATGCGTCCGAAATGGTGGCAATTAGAGTTTTATTGCGCTATTCCTCGAATTTTTGAGAACGCTCAAACAGCCAACGGCAAGTTTTGTTTTTCGTGAAGCTCACCTGGTCAAAATGGCCCCTCAGTTTTTGTCGGTTTTATGTATAGCGTAAACACCACGTTGCGCATGCACTCGCTTCCCAACCGCAAGCGAGTACACCTTGTCGATTGCATACAATATGTGATTCGAGAGGAAACTCGGGGAATGCGCAACCAGCTGGATATCAAGTAGATTGAAACCAGTCACGAAGCATCAAACACCTGTCAGCAGAGTGATGACTAGTTTTCCGTCAAGGTAACATATTGCAACATCTAAAATATCGCAGCACTATGAGGTGGGCGTTTTGCAGCACAATCAGCCGAGGAATATCGCAGGTGAGCGAATCCTTTGGGTTTCCTATCAAAACCAGTATTATTCGCGAAAAGTCAATTCCACTGGCAGTTACCATATTATTTAGTTCTTTGTAAAAAATGTGACGAACTTGCCAGAACTGATCTAGGCAGCTAAATATTCAAACAGCGCCGACCACTACACAAATGTTTTACCTGATACGATACACTGAACTAAAATAAAGTAATGCTAATCCGATCTTATAGACTTAGAGTAATATCACACATCCAGCAAGGTGGGGAAACTTCATCTTAAGGAATTTTCCAATTATTTAACTTATTTATGTATTTATTTAATACTATAATTATTTATTTTCTATCACGCAGAACTCTCAACAAACGAAATAGTATTTTTCTATACTATACTAATATACAATACTTCACAATATTATACAATATTTTACTATGCTATACTGCACGCGCAAATAAGATGATAGCCAATTGAGCGCATCGCCTTCACCGGCAAATTGCGTGTTCCAGGTTGCCCTGAAAATTATCGGCCTAAAGACAACGCTTTAGGCACTCATCTTCAGCTTGGTTATAAACTCACGAAAGAGATTCATCATTTCCTGATTTACAAACTGCATCGTGCATCTACACAGCTTTATTGCTTAATTAAACGGGAATTCGCGAAGACTACTGCGTACCTCTGACAGAAATCAGCACCGAAGAAAAGCTTTCATCTTCAGGATGTCGTAGACAACCAAGTTTTTTAAACACGCTAGCATGTTCTTGACGAAATTTGTAACGAATGCCGGCATAAAATTCAAAAAATTCCCAGGAATAACCAGCGATATTTTCCAATTATTTTTTTCAGTAAAATCGATGTTTATGGCCTACCCGAAAGCCACAGCCTCTGTTTTCGTTAACAGTGAGTCCTATGCAAATTGGTTAGACTGTAATTATTTCGGTAGGCAACACTTCTTGCAAGCGTCGTACTTACATTTTTGACAGCCTCTGAAATTTCTGGCAGGCCTATGGCAGTCTTCGATTTCTGTTTCTCGAACCACGAACTTCCGATCAGATATTCGCGATCTAGCCACTTGCAATTGAGCCATCTCGTATTAATCAGCGTTATCGTTGAAGAAGTGGAACTTAACTTCGAATTTTTGTTCGACCCGTTTTACGGTCGCCAATGGAGATAAACGTATAGATGATTCTGAATGATAGGACACTCGCAAATCGAACGTAAGGTTTTGGTAGCTTCATGTATATTTTAGACCAAACACCCAGTCCTTGCCACTCCGCGTATCGGGCCCTAACGTCATCGCGAAAATGGTGAGTTGTATGAAAAGAAAAACTCATGAAGGCTTTTTATTAAATGGAGACTGAAATTACCGCAATTGACCCACTAAGCCCGTACTCAAGACTTTATTACAAATGATTTCAGGTGGACGCCAAGGATGGGACATTTTCAAAAATAGGGAATGAGCGAGCCAAAATACATTCAACTACGGAAAGCAAACAGTTCCATTCTTGGGTTGGAATCGTTGACAGTGCTTTACTACCGCATTGTCCTTAGATGCTGAAATGCAGTAAGAGGACATGAAGTGATAATCCAGAGCAACGCGATTGAATGGATCGCATACTAAGAAAAACCCAGAGCTGGTAATTGGCCACTATCTACTGTCAGGCGCACCGGGATCGCACTAGGAACCGAGAAATGTTGCCTTACAATAACCCAGATGAGATAGGCGTGAGATTACATAGTTTTTTCGATCAAACTGCCTAGTAGATTCAAAATTGTGGTTTGGGTAGCCTTGAGGCCAATAAATGAAAGGAACCACTAGTCGTGGAGAAGCCTCATCAAAACATTTTCTCCGGAACTCAGTGATGGCGAGTTAATTACACGTGCATGGTGACTCTTAAATAAATCCATTCGATAATCTTGTTTCCAGTTCTCCCAAGGCGTACATTTGCGAAGGTAGAAATCAGTAAGTTTGCTTCTCCTTATGCAGTTACACTTTGCTTCTCCATATATAAAAAGATATATATATATATATATTTACATGTATATGTATATACATGAACCTCATCAGAGATTGTCTCCAGACCTCTCTAGTTGGATGTGCCACAAGAAGTGTATATAGACCATGTCATACACAAAAGTGGGAATCACAATTTCATTGGACAGGTTTTTTTCACTCAAACATTCGGCAAAGTACCGCCAAACCTATTCGGATTAGTGGCATGAAGTTTCGGAAATTCCGTATTTCGAAGTTTGCGCGTAACAACAACGGGTTGGTTGGATGGATAAATGCATATTCTGAAACCCGAAGAGTTGTTCTTTTTATCTCGCGGGTAGAAATGATAGCAAACTTGCTACAACATTTTGTCTATTTTCTAAGACATAGAGCCCTCGGCAGAAAAATCTGTGGGTTGCATACAATGAAGGATGGAGAAGGTATTGAACACACATGTATTTTCTTTGGCACGCTATTTATGCTTTGTCAGGTTAACCCTGTGGTCGACTTTTGGTTAGACTGCTTTAGCTGGGCACAGTTGTATCGCTGGGAATTAGGGTGTTGCACGACAAGACACCGAAAGTTTTCATTTGGTTACTTCGTTTCTGAAGTCGATTGGGAAAACCAAAGAGGGTGTAGGCGCTCGCGGCTGTTGGTTTATGCTGAAAACACTAACGACTACGCCGAGGATTCATTGAGTGAAGTTGTCCGGCGATTCAAACTTCAGTGAACACAAGATTGACGGAATAATAACAGAGGATGGTTAGCATACTGTGATTGGTGTCAGTGTCACTTGTCCAGTCGCTGAGGCAAGCGCGTGTGTTACGCAATCAATGTACATACACTTGGGGCTAAGTCTTATTGTTGGCACGGTTTTCCACGCGCGTGTCCTCCTTGTATACTGGAGTAGGCCACACGAACAGCAAGTACCTGAAAAGAGCTAGACCTTTTAACACACGTGACTAGCGGCTGACTGAGGGCAGCATTTCGGCGCACTTTGGTGTCGAGGTTCTACTTTTGAATGTGTACCAAGGCTCAGCTGAATCTCTCGTTTATGGATGTTTTAGGCCAACACATTGCTATGGAAAACCCGGTTGCATCAACGGTAATGAGCTTTTCTATCTGCTCCCTCAGACTAGGCCCACAAAATTGTGTCCAGTAAATTGTGAGGTGTGAATTTCCCTCAGAATAATACGATTTTGTGAATTTGATTTGTTCATCATCTGATCCAATAGTGATGGCCGCTCAACTTATTTTTGGAATATTTTAGGGCGTCGTCCTTGCTCACATCGGCAGTTGTCAGTAAGCCACTTCTGCATTGCTTTGCACTTCAGGTAGTTTTAAGCTGACTGATTATCCCAACGATGAAATCACTGGTCACCATTAGAACCTATGGAAGAATTTCCGGCAAGACAACTTCCTTGAGGTTCTCAAACGTTCCACATATTCAGGTGAAAGGGTAAAGTAATCAGACGCTCAGTGCATGAACGGAAAAATCTCTTTTTGGTTAGATGCCTGTGTCATTACTGTGAGAAGAAGAAAAGGCAGAATCAAGCGCTGCGCTTGGATTCATAACCAAAAACAGCTATCCAGACAGACAGACAAAATGGCCTGTTGTCATATGACTTGATGCGCTTACTTTAAACATTATGATCACACTGTCGAAAACAAAGTGAAAAACCCTACCCTTGATTACAGAAACTAACTTGGCTATCCAGCTTATCGGTCAACCACCCATTAACACTGGTTAACCTGGTTACTCCACCTACGTGCCCCTAGTCTACAGCGTACAGCTTACTCGATTCAACCCAGTCATCCCACCGCTTGCTACGCCCGAAAGCGATCCTAGAATATTCTCAAAAATTTCGTGTATGCCCAGGACTCATCAATGTCTATCTGTGGTTCCTTTTAAGAAGAACTATACAACACTGACCTTGTGTGTGCCGACCCTTGCGCCGGACACCGGGTGGAATCTGCGTGCCATTGTGGCTGCTACGGAGCACATATTTTGTTACGCCATAACGTAGCAATGTGTTTAGTATAACTGAGTAAAGACAATGAAGCATCGTAAAGGAGCAGTTGGCAGGTCTTACCAGTTTCATATATGGCGAATACGAATTGGTCAGCAAAACTTCAGCATTGATTGCCAAATGTTCAGATTCTACCAAAAATGAGATTTCAATTAGGAGATATTTTTTCCAGCCAAATGTTGGAGAGTACCATCCCCAAATATCCCACTAGCCTCGTTGGGATATTTCGGTTTCCCGAAGACATGTTTAACAGATTGCAACAGGGTTAAATGCCAAAACTCGGTTTCAACAGACGACAGTTGAGATCACCTGAGACACGCGTGGTGTACTCTGGAAGGATTTCGCACAAACTGAACTGCCACTGGTGGATGCTTCACCTGGTGACATTCGAAAGGGTCAAACTTATAATTAATAAATATGGACCACTCATTGATCGCCATAATTCTCCCAGGTTGAAGGATGCTACTTGTCTATTCGACACACATAACTACTCAGGTTTTCCAACATTCTGTATACTACTCGAATGCTCCAGTTTGAATTGTTGTAGCTTGATTTGTCATCGGGTTGAAGTGGAACAATTATTAACACCCATTTCCAGTGCACATTTGAGCTCTACCCTCACACACTCAAGTTTCGCCAAACTGTGCTGTCTGCTGCAGGAGACCTCCACAGGCATCGTGCGTCCGGTTGCCGGCGCGCCAACAATGCAAAGTCTGTCAGAAGTTAGGAAACACGTTTGAACTATTACCGTTGCCCTCTGAAATCATATCTTCCATTGATTGTTCGATTCCCGTTGGTCTCGTTAACGGCAAATAACCTGAGTGGTAGGTTGTATTTATGGGGAACAATAACGCTATAAAAACAAAGACAATTTGCATGTGGGTGTGATTACCAAACCAGGTGTTTGCAGAAATCATGCATAGAAGGATCACCGATGAAAAGCTAGTATGACAGAAAACAAGTGTACTTTGCTTAAGCAGTGATGCTAAACCAAGTAATCGCTGGACACCAAAGGGACCAGAAAATGGGAAAACCAATTAACAGTTTGTACCACATTCTTGACAACCATCAACGAAACATAGTGCATTCAAATAATAAAATTGATTAGCTAGGAATACTTTGTTGTGAGTATCCAGAAGTAAATACGAGTAGGCGCAGAGGCCACTTGTTTTCAACGTTAATGCTGAATTCCCAATGTCCTTAGATAGAAATCAAATTTGGCTGGCTAGAGTGAACTGCAGTCTCGTTCTGGTGACTACATTCGACCTGGAGTGGGAGAAGTACTTCCAAGTGAAAACGGAACTTTTACGTTTAGCAACGCACCGATTGCGTCCGACAATTCCAACGCATTTACTTGCATCATCATTTTCAGCCATTACAATTAAGAAATTCTTGAAGTGAAGGAAAGAGAAAAAAATGAATGAAGGAGGGCGTTATCTTTTTCTTTCGCTTTTAAAACATGCTGGCATCTCTTCAGGTGAAATGAACCTGACAGCACCATCCACATTGATTAGACTTATTTTCTCATTCTTCCCACATCCAGGCAGCGGTTGTGAGAGTCCCATGTGTTGGAAGGGGTAGCGCACCAACATAGCCCACACTTTTCATAATCTCTTTCACCCAATTTTGTCACATCACATGTTGACCATCCCACAGTCTTTGCTGTTGCAAGAAGGATCGGAAAGCACTCGTGTCAGTAGACGTAGTGTTGACATGCGTATCTCAAGGCCGCGTTCATCGCAGTGGATGTTTTCCGTGATTGAAATACATGCTGCACAATCAAATTGCCGTTTCTCGATTAGTTGAGTTCGTCGACAGCACCCGCTACCAGCAACAGTTTTGAGAAATTGGTCATGTATCGCAAACATATAATGATG